CTCTCTCTCTCATTCTCTCTCTCTCAAATAAATAAATAAAATGTTTAAAAAAAAAAAGAATAAAAAAAATAAGCTTAAAAAAAAGATAAAAGAAGCTGTGTGTACAAACGTTGAAAATATTTATGCTATCTTTTTCTGTTTTTTAATTTTGTATTTGAGTATAGTTGACATACAATGTTACATTAGTTTCAGGCATATATGATACAAACTTTTTTTAAAGATTTATTTATTTGCTTTAAAGGGAGAGGGAGGGAGGGAGAGCATGTGCACGCAAGCATACGAGCAGGAGGGGCAGAGGGAGAGGGAGAGAGAATCCTCAAGCCGACTCTCCGCTAAACACAGAGCCCTATGTAGGGCTCAATCTCATGACCCTGAGATCATGACCTGAGCCAAAATCAAGAGTCAGACGTTCAACCTACTGAGCTACCCAGGTACCCCAAGGCATATATGACATAATTTTTTAAAGCAGAATACAAAATTTTGTACTGTGATTATAATCATGTAAATTATGTACAGAAAGGAACCTGGGTAAATGAAAACAGTTGAACTTTTTCCCTTGGGGAAGAAAAGTGAGTATCCCTTTGCTGGCTGTCCCTTAGAGCACCAGAAGTGCCTGGACAAGCTCCTCAATAACTGCCTGTTAAGCTGCACCATGCAGGAGCTAATTGGCTTCTATATCACCATGGAGGAGTACTTCATGAGGGAGACTGTCAACAAGGTAGGACAGAGGACATACCCCTTGGAAATGGGGCTTCCTGTGCAAGAAGCCAGGCTGAAGGAAATGGCCGAGGCATGTCACATTTCTTGGCCTGCTTTGAGAATACCCTTGCATGCAACTGAGCAGTACCCCTTTGTATGATTAGAGGGCGTTTTTAGAGTTGTCATGCTCTTCAAAGACCCAGCTAGGATGTCTTTCCCAAGAATCACAAAAGAACACCTCAGCTCCTCGGGGAACCTACTTGTGCCCTGCCTCCCTGGAAGTGTGTGGGTGAGGAACCTCGGGGAAGAAGGGCCTTTCCTGATGTCTTACATCCCAGATAACAGATGACCCCAGGGCAAAGGCCCTAAATACTTAATGTCCTAACATAGTCATCAGTAGGGGAATGAGCTGTTTTGGCAAGGAGGATCCACACCAAGCTGTGACCAGAGTAAGCTGTGTTGGGAGAAACAAGGACAAGCTCAAAAGGGAGCAGAACCAGAGCCTATTCCAGAACCATCTAGAACAGTGGCATGCAGAACTGGAGCCCTCACTGGCTGCTTTGCCTTTTGGTTAGGCTGTGGCTCTGGACACCTATGAGAAAGGCCAGTTGACGTCCAGCATGGTGGATGATGTCTTCTACATTGTTAAGAAGTGCATTGGGCGGGCTCTGTCTAGCTCCAGCATCGACTGTCTCTGTGCCATGATCAACCTTGCTACCACAGAGCTGGAGTCTGACTTCAGGTAGGATTGACTCCCTTTCTACTTCCTAGGAAGCAAAAAGGTCCTAGTTGTGATTGATTCCTGAGGCCCATGTTGCTTCCTTTTTTTCCATATGATTCTAGTTCAGTGCTATATAGGATATAAGCTCCTAGCCATGGAACAACATCCTTGGGTCCAGGCAGCTGTACAGCAGCCAGGTATCTTATGCTCCCTGGACTGGATTGGAGGGGTTACTGGCCCTCAGGCCTACGAAAGAGAACAGGCAGCTCAGTTGAAGGCAGTAGTTGTAATATAGCGATCATACTTACCATTGCTGCAGACCAGGCACTATACTAATTTCCTGCTCTCATTCAGTCCTGATAACAACCCTATGATGTAGGAACCCTTAGCTCTCTTACAGGTGAGGACACTAGGGCTCAGGGAGATCATACACCTCATAAGTGGTGGAATGTGGAATAGAGCCCAGAACTGACTCCCAAAACCTATTCTCTCACCACTTACATGGTACTGCCTTTCATTAAGCTGTATGCCTCCTCTTGAGTTTGTTGGAGTTCAGTGGCGATAACTGAAATCCTCATAGGGAATAAAGAACTGACCAATCTCCTCTATATGTTCTTGTCATATCAAGTGCCCTTGAAAGGGTGTTGGTCTCTCTCATACCCTGGATGCTCAAGTTCTCCTACAGTGGTCTCAAGGATTGGTTATTCCCCCAAAAGAGCAGCTCATGCTGCTTTGTTAGGGTTGTGGGTCCTCTGGTCCTGCTGTCCTGGAAGCCAGATTGAGTGCTGTCAATCTCCATATGCCATTCTGCTCCCCCCTCCCAGGGATGTTCTGTGTAACAAGCTGCGGATGGGATTCCCGGCCACCACCTTACAGGACATCCAGCGCGGGGTGACGAGTGCCGTGAACATCATGCACAGCAGCCTCCAGCAAGGCAAATTTGACACAAAAGGCATTGAGAGCACTGACGAGGCTAAGCTGTCCTTCCTGGTAGGTAGCCACATAGGTTGGGAGCTGGTCCGTTTATTTCAAGAGGTTAAATTATGACCTCTAAGCCACAGTATAATTAGCTTTCAACTAGAGACTTATCATCCAGTGTCTCTATAGAAGGAAAACTCCTTTAAGGAAAGCTCCTTCTAGAAGGTTCTGAAACCACTTCTTATCGAGGGACCTATTTCTGAGCAACCCAATCCAGGACATCACTGTTCCCTGCCTGGAAGGCTGGGCACCTCAACTCTCCCAAGTGCTCATTCCCAAGAGCACTATGAAGCTGTTCAGGGGGCTCCACTGAGTATCAAGCTTGGCTTGCATCTGCCACAGAACCGACCGTAATATCTGTGGCAAGGCTCCAGACCACTTCTCTGAGGGCAGTCCCACAACATGGGGGATACCGATCATTTAGGCCTAGCGGGGCTGTTTTCCTAGCACGCTTCTCAGGCTTTCAACTTCCTCAGAAAAATGACCTTTTTAAAGCGCTTAGCCAGAAGACGGACAAGATGAAGCAGTGTCTTACCGGTTGTACGACAGGTGGGAAGGAAGAAGCATGGAAGGATGAAAGGGTTTATATAAGGTTAACAGCCAGTTTGTGATGAGCCAAAAGAATACAGATGAGTCCCGAGCCTGTGATCCGCCCTTTCTGGCATGTGCTGTGTTGGCATGAGTGGTGACAGTGCTGTCAGAGGTCATTCTGCTCCACCCCCACAGTGGCCAGGCTCTGAGTCGTCTTGGCTCCTGCGGTTCAGAGCCTGAAGGAAACATCCAATAGCAGAACTCTCCATCTGTAGCCTACAAATGAGGGTCTCTGAACACCCTGGGGTTAGATGCCAAATCTGTACTCTGGAAGCAGGGTCCTTGGCTTTTATCAGCTTCTTAAAGGTATCTGTGACCCCCAAAAGAGTTAAGAACTGTTGTTTTCAGAGACAGAAGCATAAGTATACTAATACCTACCCACCTGTGCAAGTTAACCCACAGTTAATATTTTGCTAAATATTATCAGGCAGATTCAGTATGGAGGCTCTTTAGGCAGCCCCACTCTCTTCCTGTCACTGAAAATATTTTCCCTGAGCATGGGTTCTAGTAATTTGGGACATCCTGGTTGTTTCCAAGAAAGAGGATCATCTCCAAGAAGCTTCTGAAACCCAACACCTTTGGAGAACTTTGCCAAAATGTCTGGCAGCCAGTTTCATATGATCATGAACTGACTTAAATTTGTCATTTTGTTTGCATTCTATTGTTTCATTTTGTATAGCACTTACTTTTATTCTTTCATTTCTCTGCTCAGAAACGACCTCCGAGCTACTGACCACCTCAAAGCTCTGCCTCTTTGCTTGGTGGTTTATTGACAGCCTCCGGAGTCTCACCATCCTGCCACTCTAGTGCTATTCTCCTCCCCTTGGCCCCACAAGTCCCCATTACAGTGGCTGCCACACAGACAGCTTCATTGTTTGAGGGCCCAGAAGATAAGGCCAACAAGAGAGGTGATGCTAAATGCTTGGTGACAGGTTTCTAGTTTTCCTGACGCCAAGTACTTAAAATGTCGTCACTCCCACCACGGCACTTATTTCTTATGTCACCTTGATTCATTTGGCTGTCAAGATGAATTCCCCAATGGTGCTGACGTATCAGTCACCATGAGCCGGGGATAAGCCCAGTGAATCCATGCTTACAAGGACTGTCAGTAAAAGGAAACTTTGAAATCAATACCTTTTGAACTCAAATCCATTTTCCCCTTATGATAGATTTTTCTTATGGCCTTAAATGCCTTGGAGACATGTAAGTTGTGGCCTTCATCCTTGAGCTGTCATGACAGTGCACGTATTTCTCTGCAAGCTTGTGATGTTAGCAGCCTTGTGTGTGGCATGTTAACGAAAGGCTTTAAGTCTTACCCATCCCCCATGAAAGTGGCCTCAGCAGCATGATCTTTCAGTATTGGCTGCAGGACAGTGATGAGGGAAGCACTCTTGGGGACACAAGGGGGTCATCCTAATCTCAATCCCTGGGGTTTTAGGATTCTTCTTTTACCCCAAAATCCTGAAGCTTCTAACACCTCTCTTGAAAATTGGCTCCTCCCTGCCTCACCCCTGCCTTCATGGTCATGCCACCAGCACACCAGTCCAGAGACAGTATGACCCTCTCAAACTCTCTAATTCCACTTCCTCCCAGCCTCTAGATTAGTATTCCCAAACCACAGCTGTGCTAATGCAGCATTCACCGGGTAGGTAGTAATCCTCAGTGCCACCCTGTTGTCCACAGGAGAGCATGGCTCCCAAGTTCTAGTCTGACTTCACTCACCTCTGCAGTTTTACCTCTTGCCATTTCCTGCACATATCCGTGCACTGACTCTGCTGATCCCCAAATACCTTTTGGGGTTTCCTGCCACTCTGCAACTGTTTATGCTATCCCTTCTGCAGAACACATTCATTTACTCATTCATTCTCGACGCTTTTATGTATCAGGCACTGTTCGAGGCTCTGGAACTGCACTGCCCGATGTAGTAGCCAGTAGGCAGAGGTGGCTATTTAAATTTAACCAAAAATCCAGTTCCTGAGTTGTACTTGCCACATTTCAAATGTTCATTAGCCTCATGTACAGATAGCTAGGGCTACTGTACTAGACAAGATTTAGAATATTTCTATCATCAAGAAAGTTCTATTGGGCAGTGTTCTACTAGAGATATAGCTCTAAAGAAAACAGAACAGATCCCTGCCTTCATGGCACTCTCATTCTAGCGGGAAAGGCAAACAAGCAGCAAACAAAATAATACTGGGTAATCCTAAATACCATTAAGAAAATATCAAAGGGCGGGGCGCCTGGGTGGCTC